TAGCTGCTTGGAATTTTGAGATGATGGCTATGGTTTTTTATTCTTTGGTAACTCAAATTGAGGTCATCTGTCAATTCTAAGAGGGCTGGCTTAAAATATAATATTTTATCTTAGATAGATAAAAGCTTAAACCACTAAAAAGCTTAAAAAAGGAACAAAAACTAATAAAAAGGACAGAAACAACATAATTATTTGACATAGTTTTCCTCCCATCTGAGCTGTTCTCTTCTTTTTTTCAAATAAAAGTAAATAAGTAAAATAATTCAAAGAAAGCTCTTTGATATCCAAAACAGATTCAAAGCTTACGAAAAAGTTGACCATTAATAATTAAATCCATTATATTTAGTGGTCTATTGACCAAATTACTTCTTTCGATTAATTAATCTTTATATGTAACGTTTTTGGTTGAAATGAAAAAGCTAGCGCCACGAGCGGGATTCGAACCAACGACCTTTGGATACTTGAGTGAGTGGTAGAACAGCTGCGTATTAGCCGAAGGTCGTGGGTTCGAATCCAGCTCGTGGCACTAGCTTTTTCATTTCAACCAAAAACCTTACATAAAAAGATTAATAATTAAATTGTTAAACTAAAGAAATTACTTTTTATATATTAAATAAAACGAGAAATTAGAAACAACACAAATGTATAATAAAAAAAGAATACTCAAAAATATATATACAAGCAAGACGAAAATCTTATTTATGCAAAAGGAAAAAAAAATTAGCATTAGTATTTTTAACATTTTTATAATTAAACCCTTTCAATCTTGCTTTTGCGTTGCCTGAAATCTGATTTTTTGGGCTTAGGTATTAAAACACATCATTTTGTTAAACCGAAGACTGCGTTGTTGCATGTAAAAGGAAAAGTCATAAACTAAAACTGACTAAAGACCTCAAAATGAGGGTGTAATTTTACACGATCTTCGACGTCCGCGTGTCTCAACGCGTCGAACTGAATATAAAGTAGACCCAGGAGCAAAATGAAATCGCAACACTCCTAATAATACCGGAGGAACGATTTTGTAAATATCTGAGGATCGGCATATAAACGATCAACTAGCGGGTGGCTAATAACAGGCGAATCAGTCTAGCCGGAGAGCGTGAGGTCGCGTCTGAGGTCACGTTTGCTTCCTACCCCCGAGGCTTCTGTTTTCATCTTTCGGAATCCAATCTTCCTCCGGGGGGCATCCAATCACCAATAGATCGGTCCCTTGATTGGGCATTACGAGCCCGAACAAAAAAGAAAAACGGCATCTCTCGGTGGGCTCATCATGAGAGAAAGTCTGCCAAATTTGGCATTACCCTTTTTAGTATTTAATACGAGTAAAGAGATAAATCAAAGTTGAACATACTCCAAGAAGTAAAAGATTTCCGTTTTCACTTGCGGGATAAGGAAGAAAGTGATCCTCATATTGATTGCCTATAATGCAAAACAATTTGAACTCTGGCATTTTTCACATTCTTCAGATGCTTGATTTTTAGCTGAAGGTAGAACTATTTTTCCCATAACTTTCAAAGCTCTTACAAAACAGAATGATAGTGATTTATGCATGTCCATGAATCAACTGATGCCCATCAAAGTAGGCGGGCATGAAAGGAAATGAGAAAACGGCGACAACGCGTGATCGCGTAAAATGGAAATATTACAGTTCATTAGACATGAAAGCCATAATTACAGCGGTGGTCCGCACTAATGAGATATCGTATTTTGCTTTGTTCTTTCTTTTACTTCTCTTCCTCTCGTCCAATGCCTCGCTTCTGGTTGATTGAACCAATGCAAACAACGGTCCGAGTCGTGACTTGAACGAAAGGAGCCCGTCTTCGACGTTCACCTCCGGAATTGAAATCACTTCGGAGAGTTCAACGCTGCAATAGAACAGTATGCTACTTAGAGAATGGCATTTCAATGACTGTCATTTGCTCTATTCGTTACTATGAACTTTTATAATATAAACGTGACATATTTTTAATAAACTATCTAATAGTTTTGAAGCTGATTGATTAAACTATTTATTGTGCATAAGCACGAAGCATTTTAACGAAGAGTAAAGTAATCCGTATCGCCCAAAAAAAAGAAACTTCTTTTAAAAAATTATTTCATTTTTACCCTGGATATATCCATACATATTGCAAATGTGATTACAAAACGTTTTTTCACTCGGTCGCAGCACTAACACTGCCAGCGCTGCTCCGGAGGACATATGCCACGAGAAACCAGCCAATACTGACACTCAGTCTATGAGATTGGGATGGGAATGTGTAGTGAACGGGTTCGAGCTGTATGGTTAGGATCGACAGGTTGGGTCCTTTTGAAATCGGCAATGGATCAGTTCACTGACAAAAGGAATGTTGAGGTTTTTATTGGAACGAGAGGTTTGTGACGTAGAAGTAGCTTTGAGTGGAAGGTTTCGATGCAATGGTTGTTGGATGGGTTGACAAAACCACACAGTTTCAATTCGTATGTCCAAAGTGGTCGCAGATTAGTTTAGTTTTGACGATTTCGCTCTTAGAAGTCTTTGTAGTTGCCCAAGCCATCTGTTAAGTTGTTGTCCCTTAAGACTTGTGTGGAAACATGTCAGCCTGTTGTCTAGTTAGGTCCTAAAAGTATTTGACTAGCTATCTCTTTACTGTGGATGTACAGTAGTTGGCAAGGCTGTTTGTTCAATGTGGACGTACATTGAGTATAATTTTTCATCCAGTCTTGTCCTCCACTTTTGCACTGGTCTTAGATAGGTTCACGGTTTTATTACATAGAAATTGAAAATTAAATTGTATATGATCCTAATTTAAACAGATCTTTTATTTTGAGAAACAGTTAACCATTCCTGACTAACAGTGGATTAGCCTTAAAACGCAATTTTAAACGGTTTGACGCTGAGTATCAAATTGGTTTGACCAGAGCCAATTTGACCAAACACATAACATGGTTATGAGCATATAGTAAAACCCTTTTGGTTTAAACGAGTGGTAGCTCAGGTGAGGACTAATTGGTCTTATTGGTAAAGTAAACAAAGATAGATTTGGTAGGTTTATTTTCTTAATTTTAAACCTTATTTTACAGTCTACTATACACTGATTATTACTGACAATGTTTTAGCAATAATTTTAATTTATTACGTTAGAAATGTGTGTTTCCTTTTATTATGAACAAATATATGAATGAAGTGCTACTTTGTTTGTCATAATAGAAAATTTCATTTACCCAGGGTAAGTTTAAATTCTTTCCCCCGACAAGTTTTGTATTGGGGAGTATGTGGGAAGGAAATCCGGAACTATTTTAAAAATTTAATTTCTCATTCACTAAGAAGATTCTGATTTAACTCAATATGTTAGCGGGACACGAATAGGAGCTTATCTATTAAAACAGGGCAAAAATGTACATTTTTCGAAATGGTTTTCGTCTCTGAAATCATCGTTGCAGACTCGGATTCTTCACGAAAACTATGTTTGAACTTTGTTCTTCGTAAAAACGAAATCTTCTCCAATGTTCGAAAATAGTTTTTTGTGAAGAACTTGAGAACATTTGGTGCAAATTAAAAATCGTTTGCACCATTAAATTCTGCGTCAGAAAACTTATCCAAAATTGTACATTGATGAATATCTTGAGCCTTGCCTTTGAGCCTCCATTTGAAATAATGGAGCTGTTATTCGTAACCCTATTTCCTAGAGTTTTTGATCAAAAATTTTGTTTCATGATAAACTAGACAAAAATAAAAGTTCACGTGTCGCGGAGTTAATCCCAACAACGCCCCAAGGAAATAAATAAATAAGGGGAAGCACAAGTTAAATCTAAACTGTATTTGCTCATTGTAGTTCGTTCTGCAGTTGTAAATTTAAAAAAAGTTATAATATATATTCAATTGTCTTAACTATTTAATCAGATCATGAAATTGTTTCAATTTGATGTGAAGTTTATTTTTACGGCTGTCTGTAATCTTGAAAATTTGCAATAGATTTGAAGTACAGTGAAAGGTATATAATTGGTGCTTAGGAGTTATCTTCCATGTTAAGTATAGCCAACATTAAGTATAATGTTAATTAGCATATATGTGAAACGGAACATCTACAAAATTATCAATGAGCAAATGACTTGGTAGATAAATATGAAATATAAAATTTTCAATGGGCAGGAAAAAAAATTCAAACAACGTTCCAATCCATCCTTACGGACTGTCTCTTCGTGTCTGCAGTTAATTCTGAATTAAATTCCCTGTCGTTGGACAGATACGAAAGCTGCAGATACGGTGAGAACGTGGTAGCTCATCCAGTAGAGTACGCCCTGATGGATGGCGGTGCATTGATCACCTGGAATAGGTCCCGGGTAACATACTCTCCGACCCATCTTCCCACGACCTTTTTTACCGCCGTAAGAGGAAATATAGCACGTTCGCGTGAATGCCTGGCTGCCCAACGCCATATTTAACTGGCGCAGGTGAAACCGCTCGGTACGTGAATTTAAATATGGATAATATGTAAAATTCGCCCGTCCGTCAAGCCAACACGGTTGTGCTTTTACTAACTGAATTTCGATTTTTCACTTTTCACAAGGATAAATCTGAGCATGGTAATACAAACGATAAAAGTTTATCTACATATCTTAACAACATTAACAGCCTGATCGAAGTCAGCATCTGTGGCCCGCCTACTTTCGCTAATTCTTGCCAAATCAATGGTAGATATCTACTAGTAATCTTGACAACACAGAACTGCAACATCAAAATTAACATAATGGTTGCCCATTTTTTTCCTGTATTACCTGTTTTATAAACTTCCCTGTTGACCTACTCAGATGTGTTTTTTTGTTATAAATATGCATTTACATTTTTATTTTAAATAGCTGTTAGTAAACTTAAACTGTTTAAACTGATCCTTATTTCTGAACTGTCGAATCCAGTTTACGTACTTACTTTTAGGTAGAGGTCGAATTTCTGTGTTTTTGCATATTGTATATTACCTGACCATCCATATCACGTTAATTATCTAAGAAACGATAATGAAAAATATGTTTATGTAATGTATACATTTTATTATGTCGAATAGTGTTATAAATATTTGAAGAAAGACTTAAATGGACGGTGTAGATGAAAGTTCTGGGCTTTCTCGTTCCTTGGGAGTTTTTCTTTCCGTTTGATTCCAATCTTTGAGTCCTATCGGGAGCGATGTGTTTTCCTCCAGTGAGCCGGTGCCCTGTACGAACTGCTCGTAAGTGGATTTTTCTGGAAAAGGCCTCTCACCAAGCAACTCGATCATGTCGGCCTTGGACAAGACTTCCGTCAACAGAAGCTTCTCAGCAACCTGAAAACTTCTGCATGTAAATACAACAAAATACCAGAGATTATGTTTGAATATTTCACCTTTTTGACTTCAGATTTGCGCGCTTTCAAAAGGTCTCTTGTTTTATGGAGAGCTTTCTCTATCAACGAACGCACTTCGTTGTCCACGAGTTGAGCCGTCTGCTCTGAATAGGGTTTCTCGAAAAAAAGGTCATCGTTCGACCGCAATTCGAAGCTTAAAGTCCCTAATTTTTCACTCATACCGTAGTTAAGAACCTTCAATTTTGAACATTAAACAAGCTTTTATGACAACTGTCAAATTACAAATTAAAGATTGGCAGAATTTCTTGCACTTGGATTTGGTTTTGTACAAAGTTGGGTCTTACTGTTTAGTTTCTCTTCTCGTAATTCATCCACGTCAGTCTGCTGTGTAACTATACCCCTATGTAACTAACTTCCTTTATATAGGAAGTAATAACATCCATATTATTCTACACTAATCTTGAGGACCAAACATCAGCAGAAAACAACCCAATTAATTGCACCAGCAACACTGCTAAACCTACCTCCGTTTGAAAATTTATACAAGGGAAGCTAGGAAAGTTCATTTAGATCCCAACAGATTACAATTGAGAATGGAACTCAGGAGGTCATCAGATTCAACGGAATGGTATACCATATATCTGAATATAAATGGCCCCTAAACCAAATGAAGGCACTACAGAAATTACAGGAGAGAGAGAGAGAGAGAGAGAGAGAGAGAGAGAGAGAGAGAGAGAGAGAGAGAGAGACAGACAGACAGACATAAGTAGACAAAACTCAAACACAGGAATCTTATCAAGCACTTCACAAAGGCTGGAGCAAACTCACTGCTACAGGTAGAGTACTAAACTCAGCAAAGTTTCCATTCTTAACCTTAACCATGTTGTGGTCACAACATCTTCAAAGCATCCGCTCAATAGAGATATTCCCGGGTATACAAGTACTTCTTAAAAGAAGGATCGATCCGATTGCCTTGAACTAAGCAACTACAAAAGTACTATAAGCCAGAAGGCTGCAGTGCTTGAGGAAAAAATCACACTTCCTTTATTCCTTTTATCATAATTATAATCATCAAATAACTTCCATGAGTTTATCTTTACTCGTTCTGTTTCCATTTTGTGAACTACTCTTTTATAAGATGAAATTGTTCTTTGATGTTGAAGGTGTCTTGGATCTATCAGAATCGAACTAAAAAATTGCAAATCGTCTAGGTCTATTTTTATGATGGTGCTAGGCTATACAGGTAGGTGAGTACGATGGGAGTTAGAAAGCTACTCTGTGGATTGCCTTAATTATTGGTCTAATTTCAGTATTCTCGGTTTGCAGCAAGGGTCTGTTAGATGGGATTTTTTTAAGGACAAGTGAAGTTTTCCGATTTGCGCACACCTTTCAAAGCAGGATGTTCCGGCGGTCTTGTCTGAGTACGATGTAATGTTAGTATTAGGATGTATAAGTAGTTCAAGGTATCAAAATGGGAAGTATGGAAGTATAAAGGTAATAGAAGTCTGTAATGTGTTGGTCTAATTTTTCGTGTATACCTTCTCGCACCTCTGCAGAGGTTTGTTAGATGGTTGGTTATAAGATCAGTAACTGACTGGTTAGTACTGTTATGCCCTTATGGTTGGTTGTATACGAAAAATGAGGTTTACCTGAGCATATGCGCTTTTCGTCACTTTCTTAAGATCATCCTGAGCACCAGTTGTGATTCTGTCGAAGAAGATTTCTTCTGCTACTCTTCCTCCTAAGGCCACGCACATTGTGTCAAAAAGTTGCTCTTTAGAGTATAAATATTGTTCCTTCGGGAGATACTGCGAATAGCCTAATCCTTTTCCTCTTGGAACGATCGATACCTTGATTTAAAAAAAGGTTAGTTTTGGTTTGAAGGGTCAAGTGCTTTTTGTAACCTTTAGAAGAGGCTCTGCGTGTTGCAGAAACCAGCCGGCCACGGCATGACCCGCTTCGTGGAAGGCCACAGTTTTCTTCTCTTCCGGCTGAAGCACGTTGGACTTTTTCTCCATTCCTGCCACTACCCTCTCGATGGCCTGTTCGAAGTGCGTAAGTGCGATGGATTCGTTTAAGTCCCGTGCTGCTATTAAAGCCGCTTCGTTGCAGCACATCGCCACATCAGCACCTGATTAAAACGAAATTCAGCCAACCAATGGAATGATTTTAAATATAATAAAACCTTACCGGTAAAACCCGGCGTGAGTGCAGCCAACTTTCTGGCCAGGATGTCTTTATCAGCATCGGTTTTCAGAGCCTCCAGGTGCACTTTAAATATGGAAGCTCTTCCTTTTATGTCCGGGACTGGTACAAAAATCTGCCTGTCGAATCGACCTGGCCTCATCAAAGCTTGATCTAGGACATCGACTCTATTCGTTGCTGCCAAAACAACCACATTTGTGTTTGGTTTAAAACCTATAAAAGAACAATTAAAAAGCGATTAAGGTATACTAACTGACAATTAAACGATAATATATCTGACCGTCCATTTCGACTAGTAATTGGTTTAATGTATTTTCTTGTTCTGAATGTCCACCGAAATGTCTGCCCCCTCGCTTTTTACCGACAGCATCAATTTCATCAATAAACAAAATACAAGGAGCGTTTTTTCTGGCCATAGAAAACATATCTCGGACCTGAAATTACTCAATCTCTTAATTCTGTAAATTTCTTTCCTAATTTAGAGACTTACTCTAGACGGACCAACACCGACGAACAATTCGAGGAATTCAGAACCAGAGGCGAAGATGAAAGGAACATTGGCCTCCCCTGCTGTAGCTTTAGCCATCATGGTTTTCCCAGTCCCTGGGGGTCCTGACAAAGAATAAATCATTAAAATAAATATATTAAAGGATTATATTTTTCCTTAAAAATTCACTCACCGGTCAAAAGTGCACCTTTAGGGATTTTAGCACCAAGTTGAATGTATTGTTCGGGATGTTTTAAAAAATTTATGAACTCCATTATTTCTATTTTCGCTTCTTCGCACCCCGCAACGTCTCTGTTTAAATAAGACAAATCGAATTATTCTTAGACAAAAAGTACAAGACTTTTTCAAAAGTACTTACTTGAATCTCACTGTAATCTCGTCGGAATTAACAATTGTTGCAATGGAATTGAGCCCTAGAAGCCCTCTCCCCCGTAAACGCCTTCCATCACCATCATTCGATCGTTTCAAGATTAAAAATAAGAAACCTGAAATCAACAATATTCGCCAATTTTAAATAAAATTGTATTGTTATTTAAGAAAAGATTTAATAAACAAACGAGAGGAATAATGTCAGATATAAAGAAGCGAGTCAACACGAGAAGTAAAATCCAAATATGCACAGTTAAGCTATAAAGTTATGATATATATACTCGAGTATTCGTGAGTACTCAATATTCCGCCGTAGAACCTCCTCCACTTACAAAAAACTGTACAACACAAATATACACCATACATAATTGATACATGCCATATTTACAGGTTATATATTGGGGAACACCCGGCTTACTCTTAAAAATCGAAACAGAGGACCCAACAACCTGATCTACTCAAGTACGGTTTTATATCGGGTGCCATGCCTACTTGCTCCCTATAAGAGGATTAGGCCTGGCACTCCTCGACCAAATGTGACATGCTGAACGACCTTTCTCAACAAGCGATACACCTGCGCGGTGTTTGACCTAAAATCAGGTGTCCAAGTACGGTATGGCATAACCTCAAGCGGGGGAGCAGCTTGTTCAACGTGAATGAGAACCACCCATCTGTGACATTAATTAGCTTTATAGAGGCGAAAGGTCGTGGTTCATGTGTACGGCTTGTCGCGAGGCTAGCGACGTCTCTCTCACTATTCTAGGAGGATTGGTAGGAAGGGTAAGACTCGAATGAGAAAGTTGGAGTGAAGAGATAATTTGAGGTATTGGGATGTTGCTGAATCAGGAGCATAATGAATGTAGATGTCTGAGTGAACAAATAGTGAGGAGGAGTTAGGAGCCTGCTACCGTTTGATTTTTAAGCCATCCCATAAAGGATATGTGGACTTAAAGACTGGAAAGTCCGTATTGGAGCAAGAAGAATTGCATAAAGTATATTCCCTGTTGAATTCCTTGTTAAACTTGTCATTAACGCAATGGTGTAGAAATAGGAAATTGAATTAAATAAATGGATAGGAGTATTTTGGAATATATCTTCATTTGTTTTATTTTTCATGTACGGATTTAAAGTAAGTAGATCTTGGAGGGATTGAACTCATATGGCTGAGGCTTGCTTGGACGATCGTAAACAAATGTAAGAGCAGTGTGATCGAGTGTTGAGGGATGTCAAATAACGGATCTACGAAACTCTCTTGATGAACGCCAGAGAGGATGCAATGGAACGGAGATAGGTTAATGTTTGGTACTACATAAATAGTATGATAATAATTAATATATATTGAACACCCAAGGAGTCCTGAGCAAGGAACAATCACGCAAACTGTCCAGAGAATGAACTGTAATCTTTAAAAGGGACGAGAACCCACACAAGGGATACAAAATCCTCAGAAAACTTATAAGACTGCTCATAAAACGAAAGGAGAAGTAGAAACACTCCAGATACAGTATAATCATGATTAAAAAACCTCATCAAAACTGGCAAACATAAAACACATTTACAATTAATAAAGGTTTTTAGTTGAGATGAAAAAAAGTTAATGGCACGAGAGGGATTCGAACCCTCGACCTTCGGCTAGATACGCCGCTGCTCTACCACCTGAGCTATCGTGACCTTTAACGTGCCATTAACTTTTTTTCATCTCAACTAAAAACCTCAATTAATTGTAAAGTATGAATTGGTCAAGCGGACAACGAAATTAGTGAGTTTAATGAATTAAAATGAAGTACACTTCACTAAAGCTCTCCGTGGCCATTTCATTTGTCGTCGAGAATCCAACCCGATTACACGACATTTGAAAAATGGAGCTCATAAGGTGGGGTTGAGATGGGGAGTTGATGTCCGAGTGGATCGAGGTCACGATAGCTCAGGTGGTAGAGCAGCGGCGTATCTAGCCGAAGGTCGTGGGTTCGAATCCCTCTCGTACCATTAACTTTTTTTCATCTCAACTACAAACCTTAATTAATTTTAGAGCATTAATTGGTCAAGCGGACCACGAAATTAGTGAATTTAGAGAATAAAACACATTGCAGTTGGACCGATTAAACCTCAGGGAATCATAAGGATATGTAAAGACCAATGGCATCTGAAAAGAGAACATCTACACAACATGAATATATTTAATGATATAACCAATTGTAGATTAAGCAATGAAAAAGAAGAAAGTGCTACTCATATTTTGTTCGATTGCAAAGCAATCAGTTAATAGAACCATAATCTTGGTACCAAGAATACAACCACGGAAATGTAATTACAGCAATTAATTAAGGTTTTTAGTTGAGATAACAATGTCAGTGTCACGAGCGGGATTCGAACCCACGATCTTCGGCTAAATACGCCGCTACTCTACCACTTGAGTAATCGTGGCTTCGAACCTCTCGGGGACTAACTTTCCATCTCAACCCCACCTTTTGAATTTTCCCTCCTTTTTGTCATTTTTAAAATATCGTGTATACTTCATTTTAATTCATTAAATTCACTATTTTCGTGTTCCGCTTGACCAATTAATATCATTCAATTAATTGAGGTTTTTAGTTGAGATAAAAATGGCAGGGTTCGAATCCCGCTCGTGACGCTGACTTTTTTATCTCAACTAAAAACCTTAATTAACTGAATGATATTAATTGGTCAAGCGGACCACGAAAAATAGTGAATTTAAGTAATTACAGCGTTGATAGTCAAAGACAACCCATCTTAAGAGAAGGACCAAGTCCATTGAACTGAACCAGGGCGTAAGGAAAGATACAATTAACCAAAAGGCTGCAGTGCATATGGAATACTCCCACTTCCTAGATACAAGATCGAAAGCCTGGGAGACAGACCAGCCTCCAGGGTCAAACTGATGTGCTAAGATGACGTCGATACTTTTGATGTATTGTATAGTAATTATGGAACCCAAATTTGTGATCTGGAATAACGCTAGCTGAGGTGAAAATTTCTTAACATCCCTAACCTAAAGTTGATTATATGTTCAGGCTATTTAACTGAAGAACATAACAAAAAGTAATGGATATACATTTTATTGTTCGACTGGTGGATAGTTAACTTATTCCTCTATATCCTACGTGACATTGATTAAGAACATTCAATATAAAATAATTGTCTCATATGATTTAGTGGACTTATGGATGGCACATAAATGTTGGTCATCTGATTTTTGAAAATGATCCACCCAGTTTGGCTACATTGTTTCGATAATACTATCTTTTAAGTTTGCTTGAATATTGTAATGAAACAAAATTTCTATTTTTAAGTGGTAGAACCTACGTGAAACTTGGTAAGTAATTAAATAAGATGTATTAACTTAGTAAGGGGGTGAGCTTTTATTCGCATTTCTTTCTGTTGGGATGGTGAAATAGCAGAGAAAATATGCTGATGAAAATTGCATACCGATGACGATCATCGTGGGGATGATGCTGCTGAGGGTGGTACCTTCAATTTGCCCACGATATATCAGCGGGAGGTAATCTGGCCGTCCGTTGCCCATTTTCGTTGGAGCGATGTCTGAACTTCGTCGGGCGGACCCACACTGCCGACGATGAAGCCAAGGAATTACCGGCTCCCGATTGGGATATATCTTCAATCAGTGGAATTTTGAATTTGCTGACTGAAATTAAATAAAAGAAATTTAAAACAAATTAAAACATATTGGAACGTCTGTTTTCTAACAAGTGGATCATATGGGTTTTTTTGACTGATAAAAAATTACAAATATAAATACGTATAAATTTATGATCAAAACATTGTCCGATTTGTTATTTCTGTTAAAAAGTGACAATGGGAAATAGCTATTTTCTTTCTACATAGAAAATTATTATTAGGCAAATAAAGAAGAACATGCGCTCGTTAATATGAAAGAGTTGAAATAGTTGTTAAATTATTACCAAATATTATTACTATTACAAATTATTTCAAACTATTTTTAGTATTTATTCAATATAAATCTGAAGTTCAACAAAACTGATTACTATTTGAAATACATAAGAGATTTATAGGTTGTTTCTGCATTACAAAAGATAGAGAGGGGAGAGTGAAAGGAATATAGAGAAAAATTATGAGGAAATGATAGAAATAAAAGGAGGGGATAAAGTATGAAAGAGGGCGAGAGAGTGAGTGAGTGAGTGAGTGAGTGAGAGAGAGAGAGAGAGAGAGAGAGAGAGAGAGAGAGAGAGAGAGAGAGAGACATAGAAAGAAAAAGTGACGGCGATTGTGACTGAAAAAGGAAGGTAGAAACAGAGCCAAAAAAGATGAAGAAAGAAAAAAAGATAAAGCGAGGTAGATAAAAGAAGATAAAGATTAAAATTGATTATCCGAAAGAATGAAAAAAAGTAAGATGAGAATATACAAATAAATTGAGAAAAGGGGGAAAAATAGATACAGATAAATAAAAGGGAAATGAAAGAAACAGAAAACGAGAACACGTGTGTGTGCGAGAGAGAGAGAGAGAGAAAGAGAGAGAGAGAGAGAGAGAGAGAGAGAGAGAGAGAGAGAGAGAGAGAGTAGACATACAGACAGACAGACAGAGAATGAAAAAGTGAAGATGATAGTGACTGAAAAAGGAAAGCTAGAAAGAGTGCTAAAAAAGGAGAAGAAAGAGAAAAAATAGATAAAGTGAGGTAGTTAAAAGAAGATGAAAATTCTAATTGATTATCAGAGAGAATGAAAAAAAGGAAAAAGTATGATTAAAATATACTAATAAATTGAGAGAGGGAGAAAAAGGGATACAGATAAATAAAGGGGAAATGAAAGAAACAGAAAACGAGAACAAGTGTGCGAGCGTGAGCTTGCGAGACGGAGAGAGAGAGAGAGAGAGAGAGAGAGAGAGAGAGAGAGAGAGAGAGAGAGAATCACTGCCACATTTTTGTTTACAAAAGTTTATTGTATTTTTACTTTTCTAATAATTGATTCTTATACATTAGTTTAGATTCATTCAATTTTGTTAAATTTTTATCTTTGAGAGTAACTCATTATAGGTATAATATACTATTCGTAATAAACAAATTCAGTAAGAATGATTTTGCCAAATGCAGTGGTATTAACTGAGAAAAATATCTTATATTTATACTATGGAAACTATTAGAGAATATTGTTTCATTAATTAAATATTGCAAATAAATTTTGAAAGGTGAGTGAGTGCGATTTGAATAGCACATTCAGCTAAAAATGGTAGTGATGTAAGTAAGTTCTACTTGGAGTTTTAAAAATGTTGAAAAATATTATATTATGTTGTTCTGAACTGGCCGATGATCAAGCTGCCACGAACTGGAGAAAAAGTAGATTAAAATCTACTGGAAAGAGTCATCTCGTAGGTTTCTGACATCAAATTCTTCTTCGTATCAAACACTTTGAACTAAAGTTCTCGCCCTAATCCTTGGCATTTTTCCAAAAGGGCATCGGATCGGAATTATATTAAATAATAAAGGAAAGTCGAAATCGGAATAAATTTAATAAAATTGACCGCTTGCTCTGGGCGTCGGTGAGGGTGATAAACAAGCTGTGAAATCGGCGGAACCTTTGATTTGCCCGGCGGACACTCTTTCAAAGAATGTTAATGACCACATGCGAACAGTATATTTTCAAATCAAAACTCACAATTCCCGGCGACCCGGAATCCTCAGCATCCAGCCCTTATCAGTTTTAAAGCTTTTAAAGTTATAAAAACTGGAATTGTTCCAAATCCCGTTTTCATAATTTAAAATCCGACGTGCTCGCGCGGCCAACGGACCGAATATTTTCGAGGCACGGGTTACGAAAAATTTTCAACATCGGTTAAATACACAAACAAGTGGGCCGATTAAGATCTCACCGGGGTCGACCGACCTACTAATTCGCGTCTTAACTAACAAATTTCTACGTACTATCTCATCACGTAATCTCTTATCTTTATCTTACATTTGCATCTACCATATTCCAACGTTGATTTATAGATTCGAATAAAATCAAAATTACTAGGACTCACATACCGGTTTAAAACGATCTTAATTAAATTATAGAAGATTAGTAAAAGATAGAGAGTGAATTATTTGCCTTTTTCTAGGCACGTCTTATTTGTAATTTAAGATATGATAACTTATCAGAATAATTTTGATTACCTAAAAACTAATTAGCTTCTGCTGGCGTTCTCTTCAGCAAGGCAAAATCAGTTTATTCTAACATAAAATATTTTATGTAAAAAAATAACTTTTCGAAGTAAATAGAGAAGAAAGAAAAAAACTGAAAACACTGAGCTCCTTCGACAAATCATTGAGTAATATATCCACTTCATCATTACTATGGAATTATAATTTCAAATTCAAATTGTAACAAATTTGCACATCACAATTACCTTGGGCTGTACACCGATAAAATATGCGCAACTAAATACAACATAAGTTAAAAAATATTTGACTAAAAATTATAAATTTGATGCGTCCATGTTAAGATAGAAGAGAAAACCGTTTTTAAACAAGACAACATTTTTTTATTTTTCATATCGTATAGAAAAACATTTGAAATGTTTTGGGGCTCTTTTTTCTGCAATGGTCATCACTTTTTTCATATAATTTATCTAATCGCACGAGTTGCCGTCGATCTGGTTGCAACAAGAGCTGGGGTCGCTCTTTCTCCTCCTGCGCGGTGGGCAGAAAGTGGGCAGTTCTTCTTCTTCTTCCTTGCAGTAGCCGTACTCGAAGGGCGGGATGGGCCTTCTTCTGTAATCGGGCCTTCTGCATATCGGCCCTACTTTCATCCTGTCTTCGACACGCCTGCAACCGGCGTCCTGCGACCAGACGATCCCGTCGGATAGATGGGAACCGGGCAAACTCAGCGCCGGCTGGATCTCGGCAGCTGGGCAAGTTTGGATGCTTTCCATCAACTGGAGGAATTTACCTTCAGTGCGTTGGGCCAATTTTTCAACTACAGCCTGCAATGACAACAAATATAAAGTGGATTACACATGTTTTGAAGATACCTGACAATTTCTTCCTAACTTTCTTTAGAAAAGGAGAAACAAGTATTTTGTTGTGCCAAAATAGAAAAAAGCCAATATTTAATTAGCAACAGGATTTTCCCATTCAATACTAGTACTTTTTTACTAAATTCTTTTACTCAATGCTTTCGTTAATGTTTAAACATAAGGTCTCACTCTCTCTCTCTCTCTCTCTCTCTCTCTCTCTCTCTCTCTCTCTCTCTTGCTCTCCGATATTTTCCCCACTATTTATGTCCGAATTCTTCTTCCTCTCTCTCTCTCCCTCTCTCCCTCTCTGTCTGACTGTCTGTCTGTCGGTCTGTCTGTCTGTCTGTCTCTATCTCTCTCTCTCACTCCCTTGCTCTCTGATCTCTTTCCCACTATTTATGTACGAAATCTTCTTCCTCACTCTCTCTCTCTCTCTCTCTCTCTCTCTCTCTCTCTCTCTCTCTCTCTCTCCCACTCCCTCTTAGAATGTTTCTCTCTATTGTTTCTCTGCCTGTCTGTCTATCTGTTTCTTTCTCACTCTCTCTTTCTCCCACTCACTCTTTGTACGCCTCTCTCTCTTTCTTTCTCCACCTGTCTGTCTGTTTCTCTCTCATTCTCTCTCTTCCACTCACTCTTTGTATGTCTCTCTCTATTATTTCTCTGCCTGCGTGTCTTTTTTCTCTTTTTCTCCCCCACTCACTTTTTGTATGTATCTCTATCTTTTTTTCTTTACCTGTGTGTCTGTCTGTTTCTCTCTCTTTCCCCCCCCTCTCTCTCTCCCTTTCTCTCTCTCTCACTCTCTCTCTCTCTCTCTCTCTCTCTCTCTCTCTCTCTCTCTCTCTCCCTTTCTGTCTCTCTCTGTCTGTCTCTCTCTCTCTCTCTCTCTCTCCTTCTCTCTCTTTCTCGCTTTCTTTCGCTGATTCTCTTTCTTTCTCTCTTTCTCCCTATTTACGTACAAATACTTCCACTTCAGTCCTCTCTCTCTCTATTTCTCGCTTGCTCTCTTTGATTATTACTCTTTCTCACTATTTATGTACAAATGCTACTATTTCATAACTCTCACTCTCTCTCTCCTTTTATCTCTCTCTCTCTCCCCCTTCGTGTGCACTCGCATGTGTGGCCGCTTATTATTAAAAATTTGTGGAAATTATTTATAAAAAGATTTTTGAATTTATTGAATAAATGAATTTTAGACCTGTTCTAAACTGATAAAATCTTTCAACGTACCTTAAGTGATTGTAACAATGCCATTATGTTGCTTGTTTAAAATGTTTATAAAACTTGCGTCTTGACTCGTACCTTGCTGGATGAACAATGAGAAAATTATTTATTTCACATGTTCAAACAATAGAACAAATACAATAAAAACACATGTTCAGTAAAGAATTTATTTTCAATTCATAAGAAAAATTCGGATGAAATGTCTATGCGGAAATTTGTGAACTTTTCACCGCTTGTAACTTTTGATGAAGCGATAAATCATCCGTATCATATCTAGTATAACCTCGGAATTATATGTGATTAATTGAAATGTATGTTCTGAACCGGTTGAATCAGATAAACAGTTGATCACAAGATTCAACTACCGGAGTGTAATAGTTGTATTCGACACGCATTAGAATACCTTTCTTGTGAATGTATGGTGGTTAGTGACCGTTAATCGATAATTATTCAAAAATCGCCAGATGCAGTCTGGTGTGATGTGGGTTTCAGAAAAACATTTTCTTTATCGTGTCACGTTTCGATCTTTATCGAGATCATCTTCAAGGCCTGGGATTGACACACAAATACATACAGAATGTGGAAAAAAAGTGAATTTGTACAATGCAAAATATATTTTTTATATTCAATCAAAGTATTTCTACTCACTCAAAGTGTTTGTATTCTGTGTAATTGTGCATGAATTTCTTGTGAATGATGATTGTGATACAAAAGGAAATATATTTTAGAATCCGTTTAAATACTGATTGTTTCCGTTTTCAGAGAACAGTTTCTTACAACCCTTTACTTGTGAATTCCAAAATTCTAAAAATAGGACAAGCAGGAACAGTTTCTAATGTTCATAACATATACATAGATAATATAACATATACATAACATATACATTGATTTATATAAGCTGAACAACGCACACATATGCGCATATTGGGTTGAGGTTCAGTCTCCAACGCAATCAGTGTTTGAACCTTACTCACACTCTCACTCCTTCCTACCTTATTTACATACCATTTACTAAATGAGGGTCGAGGAGTCCTCGGTATTCATGCATCACCCTTGACTCTCGTAATTGTGGTCGTAGCCACCTCGATCCGGCTCTCGGATGCTAAAAATACGATTATAAACATTATTAAAAGGTAATAAAACCGTCGATGTGTCAGATCGAAAGAAAGCTTTAATGTCACAAGATTCCGGACATAGGTAACCTTCGGAGAGCCTAGATCGAAGAAGGTATCATCCTCACTCGGCTAAGAATAACCTATAGAGGTTGATTCACGAACAGCTACATTTGAGTCAAAGTCCGTGTACGTGTCTGGCATGTAGAAAAAGTTTGCTCCATGTGTTTCAGGTAATTGAACGCTGTCATTCCTGGCTCCTTATAGAAAGCGTGTAGGAATGCGACCCAATATGATAATTGATTTTGAGCAAGAATAGCAAATATTTGGAATTCTACTTCAGTTTTTTGGAGGAAATAGGGCTGTTTTATTATATGTACTTCATAGATATTTCGCATTTTTTCTTTTTTGTTTATATTGAGAATGAATGTATTTCGCAGTGTGAATGTTTAATATGAGAGAGCCGATGTCTGATTACTGAGTACTTTTAGACTCTCAATTGGAATAGTTATCAGAAAGGGGCGTAAAGTACTCAAGTATTCAAGAATAACCGTGATTGAGCCTAATTTCAGCGGCAAGATAGACGAGGTCTGAACCCGGACTACAAAAACTTGAGGTAGTTAGAGATTCTCAAGGTTCTTTGTACGTGTCTATGTAAGACGTGCACAGAGTTGAGCTTATAGGATTCCCTACACTATACAGCTAGACTTGATGATTGATAATTGAAAATATTTTATATTACTGATTTTATTTAGACGGATAATGGCAGAATGAGTCGACTAGTTGATAGACTGGTATATATTTAAGATTGATGAATATGCGCATTTAGGAAGATAAGAATGGATTAGAGAAATAGAAAAGAACCAGTAAAGCTGAGACAATGACACTACTAACTCACCTTTGGATCACATCTACTTTGGAACACTTTGGATAAAGGGCCAGAGCTATGCGGACAACATAGTACTGATAGCCAGAGGAAAATTCGAAGTAAAACTCTGGGACATAATCCAAGAAAAGCTAAAAATTACGGCAGCTCGTCCATTGGAACCGAACTACGACGGCCGTTCAACAGCCGAACTATTTGACCAAACGGACGACCAATATAGCCGAACGCCGTCGTCCGCTGTAGCCGATTTTCGTCAGTTTACGACACAGCCCAAATGGATGTAGAAGATTTGTGCTACTGGAATGAACAAATGGAATGGAAGAAATAAACAAAAATATTGGAAGTCCCATTTCTAAAGCTATCCTTGACCACAGCTTACGCTGTACATCTCTCCGATGATTGAGTGGATCACGCATGTCCCAAGAGCCTGCTCCACAACCGCACTTATCAATATTTCGCAATCCATCGAAATGAAAAGGAAACGAAAAGGTAAGCAAAAAGAACGGCGTTAAACAATGATGAGCGTTTGATGTCACGTGGTTGACAGTTGAAGTCGAAGTAACCATTCGGCCGAATAGGCCTGGAAAATCCAACTTTATTTGGATCGGAAAGTGCTTCGGCCCAACACGACCGAACGAATTGGTTCTAATGGACGCGTGCTCATCCGTTTCTTCGCTTTTGGATCACCCTGCCCTATTCGGCCGTGCAACGGCTCCAGTGGACGGCCTGCCGAATGGTGTAGCACCGCTGGACTACGGATTAACATAGGAATACAACTTATTTTACACACAGAAGAAAATTGAAACAATGAGGCCGATAAAACCGAATATGTGAGAAAAATGAAAAAAAGAAACCAAACAACCAGGTAGACAAAACGCTGGCATTTAAGGACCATATCGGTACCACTATCAAGAAAGCGATAGGAGCTTTGATGGTGCGCACAAGAATAGCAGAGTAGAACTGGTTGTAAACCACGATGGTGGTCCTCACCTAAGACGCAATAGCCTAGGCCAATAAAGTCGAGCAGAAAATCAAACAGAGAGATCTCATGAAAACACAGAAACTCGCATGAGTTTGTCAAATGGGTGCGACGAGAACATGTCCCACAGCTGGTATGGAGGAAATATTGGGATTAACCACGCCTCACCATACGATAATGACAGCACAAAAAAACTATCATCAATCCAATCAAAGAGAAACCTCCAACAGGACTAAAACTACAACGAAGCGATATAAACAACCTAATTAAAGAAGATCCATACTCGTGGCTCCAAGACCCGACGTAGGCAGATGGTTGAATTTAAAAAAATTTCCAAACAAACGTAAGTACGCAAAAAGAATGAGAAAGAAAGAGAAACCCTTCCTTTCCCGGTACGTGGGAAAGAGTATTCGGTCCCGAAACCACATACTCAGAACCCATGGGACCACCGGTATCTTCCAGGCTGAAGTCTATGCAATCGAGAGTGCACCTCGTTCCACCTGAGCAAAGGGTAGAAAAAAAAATATCTATCAGGACAGATAAACATGCAGGCAAGGCAACGAGGGCAGACATCCGTGCCAAAGGGCTGTAAGACCAATTTTATGGCATAGGAATTCACATCATCAATGAGTATCTCAGACAAAGGGACGAAATGAAAATCAGGAAACAGTGAAATTCGCTCATTGAACATTAACGATCTAAGAACCTTCAAGCAAAGTTTGGAGGAAAAGAACCAATAGAATGCATTAAAGAAAGCTAGAAAACAACTGCGAATCCTAACCGGATTCTTAGCTGGGCACAGCAGAATGAATGGATATCTTATGAAGACCAGGTATAATCTACCACATGCAGATTCTGTAAAGAACCAGAGTGAACATCAACACACCTACTAACGAACTGTGGTGCCACATTCGCCCGCAGGAGGAAGTGTTTTGGGATGTACAAGAACGTAGAAGAAATTCAACCACGGAGACGGAGCCAACTAATCAAGTCCCTTGATAAAGGGGACTACAGGGGGATACAGTAGCTCACAAAGGACGCAGTATACCGTACACTACGTTTTATCCATCTATATACAGGTAGATATGAGGATAAAAGATTAAACGATTTGTCAATTTCAAGTAATAGTTAGATGTACTCCAGTACAAAGCCACAAACAAATTCTTTGAAATAAAGGCCTGTATTAAAAAAGAAAATCCAAATTAACAAAATATATGTTAAAATATCATATTAATGGAGTTAAACATCGTCATGTTAATAAGATATACAAATTAAAAACGTTCCTAAAAATTCGCATAGAACATTTGATTAATCCACTATCATTTAACATATGTAGTTAAAATCGTTAGCTTAAGTAAAGAATGATTTATTCCAGCTTATTTTTTTAAATATTTTAAACTCTCGACAACAATGAATGGTTAAGAATAACTTTTGAATAAAATAAAAACCGTTGTAATATGTTTTGGTCAAAATACATATGTTCTATGATACTCAACTGTGCTGTTTTTTTTTCTACATTCACTTTATCTGAAAGAATAAAACTCAATTTGACAAGGGAAAACATTTATTTTGAAGGCAATTAGTTTGTGACCTTTACATCATCTTTTATATCATCACGTTTGAATCCTTCAGGGTTTAGTTGTTTCTGCATCCTCCCTTTGTTTGTTTCACATCGTTATGGCAGCAAGGTCCTCTGCCCCGTTTCTTGATTTTCGGTGGGCAGGACATTAGGGGTTCGGGCTCTTTCTCCTTGCAGTAGCCGTACGTGTAAGGAGGGAGGACTTTGGGCCTCAGGTCCGCGGCTTTACAAATCGGCCCGCTTCTCTTCATCTTGCTCTCCAGCTTCTTGCAGTCGTCAGACACGAGAAGGAAGCTGTCCTTCAACATCGAGATGCCGGGGACGTTCACGACCATATTCCCTTCTTGTCCTAACACGATGAGCTCGCATTTCTGGAGCACGGATTCAGCAGTGTGGTTTAAGTTCCTTGCTATGGATTCGCCAAGTGCCTTAAATAAATTATTATTAAAATATATTTATAATCGTGAAAAATATAATATATAAGTACTTACTTTTAAAGAGGCAAGAGCCATTTTGCCTATTATGCCTTCCTTGGTATGTCGGGTGAGGTCGTGTACTTGTTGACGTGAGCTTGTGTAATGAACTGGATCTTGGTAAGAATGACAAATGACGATCAAATTGATCACATGGTTTTTTATTAAAAAAATTAAGCTAAACTACATATTGTTTTGAACATAGATTTTCTCAACAAAATCCACTTTTCGCAGTTTGACTACATTTGTTTATTATTTTTATTATTTAACAAACTTTTTCAATAATAATTTTTTACTAAATATTAAGAATTTGCGATTTTTTCTCCTTTTTGTCATTTTTCAAATGTCGTGTAATCAAGATTCTCGGGGACAAATGAGGACGTATTTAGCCGAAGGTCGTGGGCTCGAAACCGCTCGTGACACTAACTTTGTCATTTCAACCAAAACCTTACATAAAAAGATTAATTAATTGGCAGAAGTAATTCGGCCAATAGAACACTAAATATAATGCGTTCATTTATGTTTGAAATTTTCATGTTTCATTTTTCATTTCATTCATTTGGAAATGCAGGTATGGTTGATTTTCCAATTCAAGTTTCGTTATATGTAGGGTCGTCTGTTGGACCACTGCGGATAAAAATGTGCACACGACAAGCAGCTTTTATGACATCAACCGCGTCCAATACTATAGGCCTAAAAGAAAACTCCATTTTTGAGCTAAAATGCCAAAGAAATTTGCTATACTCGACAGCCTCTACCTTCAGCAATTGGATCACCGAGATGATCGACATTTGTTTGACATCGATAATCACGGCGAGCAGTTGCATGATATGATCGCGCCATCGGATCGCTTTTGTTTGACAGAGCCTTAAATAGAAAAAAGCAATCCTACCCTATAATAACCTCTCAAATAATATTATTATTACCTATATATTTATTACACACAAAGGTGACATCAAATTTTCATATGTTACTAATCATATTCATTTATGTACTTGGTAATACTGGCAGAGTATCTTTCAAACTTGAGATAAATAACTTGTGTGTATACTCCCAGTTTTCCAGTAATAGATTAATATAAATAAACCAAAAATAATCATATTCTGAATCGGTATAAAATTAGGCAGAAAGACAAGAGACTTTTTGAATCGTCAGTATATAGATATAAATAAATACAATTATTAGACAGACATACTAACCCTGGAACTGTGATTTCAAAGAGGTCAGTCCAATATAGACTTCACCAAATGTACATGAGTACAAAATGTAAATTCGTGAATATTAAAGCGATAAAACAATATGTTTTTCCAATGTTGGAAAATCTCCTACGTTCTTTAGTGCATGATGGTTAGTTTATTTATAAGATTATAAACTTACAAATTCGTTAAAATAATGACCTGGTACTATGTTGAAGTAAGATTAACATTTATGGTTTTCTGTATATTTGAAATTTACATCAATGTAATTGGCAGGGCGGATAAACGAAAAATTCCCTCAAATATTTAAGTTTTCATGTATAATACTAGTTGCCAGAATAAAGTGAGGAGAACGAACTAGGAAAATTACTAAAATAATTAACCCGTTGTTTATCCACAAACGTAATAATGCACTTCTACCAATACACCATAAAAATGTACATATATACATAAAACTCTTATACAGGTGCTAATATTACCTCATTGGGAGACAGATTTTCTGTTAATATTCCAACAATGTTAAAATCTGTTAAAATTTTCTATCTAGCCTACGAAAAGGAATTTGATTCATGATTAACTGTAGACACGAAAATACGGTCCTTAAGGAGGTATCGAAACGGGCATTTGTTGTGGAAACTTTTTTTCCTGGTGATTGAAAATATTTATGTTTGATATTTTTTTACCTGATCTTTTGATCATTGATAGTTTTATATTAGCTCCGTTCTCCATATGAAAAAATTTACGTTGTACTTGATTCAATTAATCAATCTTTTTATGTAAGGTTTTGGTCGAAAGTATTGAAAGTAGAAAATATAATTTTTTAAGTCAGTAGGTCCTTGATTAATTGTGTAAATAGTTAATTAATCTGACAGAAGTAGTTATTAGACTATTTATAGATTATTTTAGACTATTTATAGTTAGTCAGTTAATTATAGTTTTTATTCAAACATCAAATTTTTGGATTCAGAAGCTACTTTATTATGAGGTTCTCATATCAGAGCTCTTTTATACAAAATCACAAGAAATCTGCAGAATTCAATACAGAAAATAATCGAAAATGAACCTAAAATATTGAGTAATAGTTTTACTTACTTAAATAGTAGGTAGACAATAATCAATACGAAGAAATAAACAATTGTTCGATGTTATATTAAAACTTAATTATGTTGAAAATAACAATTCACATTGCTATATATTCTTAAGAAAAGTACACATGGTGTTAGTTGTACCAGCATGAACTATGGCATAAAGTGACAGAAGATAATAATATTTATAAATAATTGCAATCATTGTATCTGTTGTTTTTTCAAAAATATTTCTTTTCTTTCTGACTTTTAGTTTATATAAAAATGTTTGATCAGGTCTAACATTATGAAAATTAAATCCATTATATTTAGTGGTCTGATTGACTTACTTCTTTCAATTAATTAATCTTTTTATGTAAGGTTTTGGTTGAAATGAAAAAGCTAGTGCCACGAGCGGGATTCGAACCCAAGACCTTCGGCTAAATACGCCGCTGCTCTACCATTTGGGCTAGTGACTTCGATCCATTTGGACACCAACTCCCCATCTCTACCTACAGCCTTTCGAATTTTCCCTCCTTTTTGCCGTTTTTCATTCATTTTGAATATTTTTGAAAATTATTGTCTTTTTGGCACTTTCTGTCAACATAACTGGTAATACCATCAGCGTAAAAGAATGTCACGGGTGAGTCCAGTCCAAAAGAGACAATTTTTATTGCAAAATACGTTTTTTTTCTTTTGTCTTACCGTTCGAAAAAGAACTGATCAAAGCTGTGAAACACAACTTGTCAGGCTTACACACACACACACACACACACACACACACACACACACACACACACACACACACACACACACACACACAAACCGTTTCTCGTTGATTGTTCAAAACGTGAACAATTGTTAATGTTATATAATTTAATGGGCGTCCTGGTTTCAAATAAAATGATTCCACGGAATGAAAATTTTAAATTGTTATTCACGGTGTTTATAGCTACCTGAGATACATACTATTTTCTTGGGTTGAACCAGATTGTCTGTTGAAATTCGCTTGGAATCGTGAATGCCAGATCATCCGGAATCAATACGTTTCTCAGTACAATAGATCATCTCGTGAAAATACCGAACTTACTGCGAAGTTAATAGGAAGAGAAAGGTGGATTTTGTTTATGCTATGCAAATATCGCGTGTTGTATTCAAATCCAAGGAAGGTTTGGACGCTGCCGTGTAGAATGCAGCGTATAACTAGGATGGTCTCAAGGACCAGCCTATTTACATATGGTTAATATTCAGCCGCCTAGCTCCTCATTATGAAAGCATTATGAGTGATTAGCGGTTAAACTGGTGTAAATTAATGAGCGGTGGTGTAAGACAACTAGATTGCGACTGTAATCGACGTAATGGACAATTTTCAACCGGTTACACCCTCCGATTTACATTTTACGATTTCGGCCTTATAACACCCAGAGCTAATGGGTCGGTTTAAATATGATACCATTCTCTCCGCGGACGGCTTATCCGCAAGTAGCTTGTTACCCCTCGGATTCAAATTAGTTGCTAACATGCGATGCAAACTAGATACCTGTTGAATATTTTTTTCCACCGACAGACACATCAACCAAATTATGACAAACAAGGTCAGGATCGTTAATTTTTTTTAACATAATAAATATAGAGATTAAATGCTAAGGATCGGTTTATTAACAACCAATTTGCGGTTCCCTGTATTTTTTAGACATAATGCGACAAAGCGAAAGCTTAAAATAAAAAGCGTTACAATAAAACAAAATTCAGGCTACATCTTTTTACATACAGATTATTAGACTGCTTTAACTTTTTTATCATCCACTAAAATTGATGTTATTAACAATCCAACAACAAATTTCCTTAATTTAAGAAAACCCTTACTACCTTTCTGGCCGTACTCGTCTGATACGTCGCGGTTTTAGCCAGGTCGTGACTGCCGCGACACTACCCAGCTGTGTTCTTAGAACTTCATCGGAATTCACTCGTTTTCCAGACGGGTCTTGGACCGACGAGGGGTTAGCGCGCGCCCTGTACAACCGGGGTTCTTCCCTTTCATGGTCGATCCCAGGCACAGCAGCGTATACACGACGAAACTGTTAGCGATCTACCAGCGCGCTGGGTAATTCGAGATGATGGAGGCTCTGCCTACCTCGTATGTACAATGAGCGATATCGGTCATCCAGGATAGATTCTAGTTCTTAATGATGCTCTTGTTAGAAAGATGTTCTGAGTAGAGACGTCTCGGGAAAATAATTCTAGTTGTCTGGGTACCCGGACAAATCAGTCTGGAGGGAAAAGAACGAGCAGACGACGTGGCGAAAGCTGGGGCCAGGGATACAGCGCAGTGATGCTTTGCAAGCACTAAAGCATTTGGTGAACGCTAATTCACTGGGAATCTGGACCGAAAGTAGAGGATCGTGCAAACCCGATTGAGGATGGGCCATGCCCGCTTGATGGTAAATACCCGCACAGGTGTCCTTTTTTGTAGAGAATGCTCGCTCAGTGTGACACATCGGATCGACCGGTGCTATGGCTCCTTACAGGAATCGAATAGGCATGACCCCTGACATAAAGATATTTCTTAGGCAAGCAGGCGTTCAATTGTTGGGTCCCCTGTTCCACTTCTAAGGGCAACGGGGTCATTTCCTCACATATAGAATTGTACATAAATTGTGGTGTGTCCGTGTAAATTTATGTATATTTAAATGTAAGTGTTTTATGTACTTTCAAATTAATACTGTCGGTCTGTAATTAACGGAAGAGCCGATGGCAAATATGGACAACCCCATCGGCAATAACAGTGTGCTGGGGGAGCTGAAATGACTTGGTGGTTGTTGGAAAAGGGGTTCCCGCGGGAAAGGGAAAAAGCTATGAAACATTTCTAACTACATACTTTCACGAGAGGCGAGTTCGGATTTGGAAATACACGAAGATTAATATTGAAATAGCAAGAAACATATGACTCGGCGGTGGCGGGGAAATATTACAAAGTTATTTCCTAAATTGTTGAATAAGCCATGGTTTGCTGTAGCAGGGGGTCCCAATAAAGCATTTTTCACCACTGTTGTGCGTTTGAGAACGGGGCATGGCATTTGCGAACCTCCAACTGCAGCACAGGCGACATGTACGAAGACATGGACATATATTCTTTCTATGT